TTCCAATTACTTTTTTGCAAGTACCAAAACTATCTTTTGCTAGCTAGTACCAACAACCTCATTTTTTATTTTACTTTTTATTGTGCAATAAACTGCTCAACTTATTTAATATTACAAATCAGATCTTACTCCTAAACCAATATTATCTCATAGTGACTATCTGTCCATTTAACTTGTTTACCATTACTTAATTGTAGTTCCTTATATATTTTTTGTCCTTTATTTTAGCTTTACATAACTACCTTAGATCATATATTCGCAATTGTTAAACTATTCAAGGTGCTATTCTCAGGTGCTAAAGTTAATAAGTTCACTATTTTGCCATTATACTCCAAAGCTCATTTATTTGATTACCACTTTATTGTTCACCACAACTTATATTAGTCCCTTTTATATTATAATTTTATATTATAATTCTAACTTTGAAGAATTACCTTTAAAGTACTACCTACTATCATATTCCCAGCTCCATTTTTGATCATCACTTTATTTGTTCACCACAAATTATTTTAGTCCCTTTTATATTGTCTCCTTTATTTTAGCTTTAAAAAACTACCTTAGCTCATTATTTTTTACATTTGTTAAATAATTCAGGTGCTATTTTTTTTTTTAGCTTTAGAATATTTACTTATTTTTTACTTATTCTAACTATAGATTCACTACAAATCTTATGATTAAAAAGCATTGATCCTGATACCAACCTCTTATTAATGACTTAAATGATTCAACAGTTACTGTAATTACTACACAGCAGAACAATCAAAGGCACTTCTCAGAGCCAACAACAACATAACTATCTTTAACTACAATATCAGATCTTTAAGCAAGCATTATGATGACCTCCTAGCGTTACTAAATTCCTTGCATGCCAATATGTCCATCATTACACTAACTGAAAACCCGGCTAAAGCTGATACTACAGATGTCTATGCCATTCCTGGTTACACAGCCATTACACAACTGTAGGCCAGACCAACAAGGGGTGGCACAGCAATATACTACTCAGACCAACTAGAATGTATCACTAATACTTGCACAAGGATGAACATGGGGAATATATAATAGCTAAACTCAAATCCAAATACCTACAAAAACCTCTCACAGTGATAAACATCTACAGAATTCCACAATCAAACATTAGCCAATTTAGTCAAAACCTAGGAAGTATGATAACTGATGCACACATGAACAAGATCACTTACTACTCTCAGGTGACTTCAATATAAATCTCCTGCAAGACCAGGACCCACACGTTACTGAATTCACAACACAATGAGTAACTGCATGTTGCTACCAACAGTAACAAAACCTACAAGAGTTACAGAGACTAGTGTTTCCTACTTTACCACATCTGGACCAACACCTATCCCCTTTAAAATCAGGCTAATTACAGTAAATACCACCCGACCACTACCCTACTTTCCTCATAACAACTCTTTGGTAAAAATACCCCAAGACACTACAAAAGTCACCTTCAGACTTCACAATGAGGCAGCCATTAATAACTTCAAACAGCAGTAAAAAAACATTGACTGGCAACTGAGCTAGAAATCTATACAGATATTGACGAATGTTTTAATAATTTTTTAAAAAAGACCCAATACCTTTTAACAAGCACTGCCCCAAAAAAACTAAACAGATGGACAGCTAAGAGACTGAACAGTCCCGGCTAACACCGCATTCTCAAATCCATAAATACAAAACACCGATATGAAAAAAAATTATTAATGGGTCACTAACCAGAGACCAACAAAACGTTACTCGTCAATCCTAACCAGCCTGATTTAAAAAGGGCAAAAAAAAATTTGTATTATAAACAGATATCCAACTTACGAGGTGATATAAAAAAGACCTGGAAGACCCTATCAGAAATTTTTGGGAACAAAAAAAATATCACGACATAGCGAAATAAAATTAGCAAAATCAGATGAACCCCAACTCCACCAACGAAACAGCAAACAGACTCAATGATTTCTTCTCCACTATAGGCCAAAACCTTGCCAATAATACCCAAGCTCAGATACCCCACCAAATGACTACCTCACTGGCAAATACCCGAAAAACACTGTTCCTAGCTCCGACTACCCATACGAAGTCTCCTTATTATCAACGCACTGAAAAACAAGGCAGGAGATTTAAATACCTTACCACCCTTTATATACAAAAAAGCGTCACAAGTACTATCACCAATCATTGCAACACTCTTTAAACAAATCCATTGAATCCTCCACCTTCCCTACAGTTCTCAAAATAGCAAGGGTCACCCCGATCCATAAAGGAGGAGACCAAACAGAGTTGAATAACTATAGGCCAAAATCCAATTTACACCCTCTCTCAAAAATCTTCGAAAAATTATTCATAAACGAATCTACTCCTACCTCATCTCCCATAACATTCTCACCCCTGCCAATTTGGATTCAGGCCTAATAAAAATACTAATGATTTCTATTATACACATGCTAGAACATATATACACTGCAATAGAGAAAAAAGAAGTCCACTGGGATCTTCATTGACTTACATAAAGCTTTTTGATACAGTTGACCATGACTTGCTCACGTAATTTTTCACATTTGGTATTAGAGGGGACTCCCTCAACTACCTCAGTCTTACCTCAGCAACAGAAGCCAATAGTGTACGCAAATGGGCAAGCTCTTCCGCACAACCATTACAGTTGGTGTCCCACAGGGAAGTGTCCCTTTGGGCCCCCTTCTCTTTCTCCTATACTAAATGACCTACCAATGCTTCGCAATTACTCAAAACCCACAACTTTTTGCAGATGATACCACATACGTCTTCCCCTCACCCGAGCCTAGTCACGCTAGTCAATACTGTTAAACACCGAATTACAGAAATATCTACCTGGATGAGGACTAACAAACTTACATTAAACATTGACAAAACCTACTTCATTCAGTTTGGTAGCGAGCTCAGATGTACCTCTTAACATAACGATAAACGGATCACCTATCAAAAAAGCTAACAGAGGGAAAATTCTTAGGAATCCACCTCGATAATAGACTCAAATTTCATACACATATACAACAAATTTCTAAGAAATTTCCAAGAAATGTAGGCATACTATCGAAGATCGGTACTTGTTCCACGTCAGCCCTCCTGGCCCTTTATCACTCTCTTTTTACCCCCATCTCACCTATGGAATTTGTGAATGGGGCTACAACACTAAACTATCTCGCCACTAATTACCCAACAAAAGGCTGCAGTTAGAATGATAAACAAATTCTCACTACAGGCAGCACACTCCACCAAAATTCAAAACACTCAACCTACTCACCATACAAAACATCCATACTTATTATTGCACTTATTACATACATAGAACACTTAACTCTTTATATTAACCCTCCCCCCAAACATCTCCTTGCCAACCTCAACAGAACACATGACCATAATACAAGGCACAGATCACTCTTTGATGTTCCCGTGTCCATCTCACGCTATGCAAAAAACTCAATGCAAAATAAAAGGCCCTAAAATCTGGAATTCATTACCTGTAAATATAAAAAAATCATACCTGTTTTAAATTCAAGTCTCTCCTCAAAGTTCACTTACTCACTCAAAACCAAATAAATACTTGAAAAACTGAACCATATAAATTGTATATCCTAAATGTTACTCACAATTATATCACACAAATGTTAAACCTAACTTTGTTATTTTTTTTTTTTTTTTTTTTTAAATACACTACCTGAATGAACAGCAATGCATGCAACCATATGACCTGTCTTTGTAATACTCATTTGTATTTTATAGTTATCTGTTTACAATAATGTCTTATCACTGATTTCATCATTGCTTAGTTAATCTTAAGTTAATTTTAAGCCAGCCCGTAATGCTATGCATAGTATAAGTGGCTTTGGCATGCTGCTCTTATCTGTATTTTTTGTACCTCTGTATGTATGCTAAAATTTATAAATAAATAAATAAATAAATAAATAAATAAATGAACAGAGGAAATGTTAGTTTAGTGCCAGGAATACCTACATTGTTTATTCTAGACCCTATTTTGAAATTGGAATATTTTGAACTTGGTGTTAAATTGGCCAAATTACCAATTTCCGATCACTTTATTTTGTAGTTGAAACAGTTGACTTGGCGATTTCTTGTGCTCAATCGATAGAATAGAAGTAGTACTAGTGAAGTAGTGAAGAATTTGGTCGACTGGAATAATGTAATTGGCCTAAAATGGGAGTCAAGTCGGCAAAATCACCGATTCGTAAATATCGCTGACACATCAAAATTTGCGAGAGCATAATTTCGTCAGTTTTCCATCAAATTTCGTACTTTTTGTTTTTATTGCCTTCAGAAAAAGATTCTCTACCATTTCACAAGAAAAAATAAAAAAAAATTTTTTTTTTGAAAATTCTTGGACACTGGGGCACCACTTCAGATTTTGGCCTTGGACCCTGAAGGGGTTAAATTCAGGAATGGGCAAATTCTCCATTATTTTAGCATATTCTTTTAAAAATTATCTCTGTCAGCATTTGTCTTTTTAGTATCTCTGAACTCAAGAGACTTTTAATTTAAGCGTAAGCATTTTTCTTATGCACTTTCCTCTTAATTACAGCCTCTCCTCAATTAGCAACGTACTCATTTACCGACGATTTGGACCTACGACGGGCTCTCTGAGCAATATGTAAACCTAAATAATGTATATTAGAGCTGATTTCTCTTCGTATTCTGTTTATTGCAATATACACTACACTGCTGTATAAACATTTAAAAATATATCACAGATGTTATAAATGGTGCAAAGGGGACATTAAAACAATATCAAAGATGGTTGACAAACTTGCTACCATTATAGTATGCTCCTCACTCAGCGATGAATTTGTTTACCGACATGGTCTTAGGAACGGAGCTCCGTTGTTAGATGAGAAGAGGCTGTACTGTGAAAACTTTGCATAGCATTTATTTTTCTCATAAATATACTAATCTGTTTATTTTTTATTGTTAATTGTTGCACAATGTCTCCCCAGGGACAGTCCCCAGACCCAGAACCAGGAACACCCCCAGAAGTTGTTACTGTAGCAACAGAAGCCTGGTCTGTTCTGTTAGGAAGCCAAGTATCACCTGTCACTGTTGATATGACAACCTTAGTGCCATGTCTTGAAGTGAGAGCTTCATTTACACAGAGCCAGTTTCATGTGGATCAGGAAGTGGGTGTGATAGTCATGATCAGGTAATTATATATTCAGTATATCATATGTTTTGAGCGACATCCTTGCCATATTGGCCAGGTAGGTAGTTAAGTAGACCCCAGGAAGGTGGCAGGCCAGTGCAGTATCCACTCTACTATACTAGCAAAATCTAGCATTGACTTACCATGAGTTTTAACCCTCTATTCAGAGAATTGTTTACAATCATATCATCATGATTTTGCGAGTCAGTTAATTGCAATCATCCTGTTTGTAAAAGGAGTTATTAATTTCTTCTTCTTTCAACACACCGGCCGTATCCCACCGAGGCGGGGTGGCCCAAAAGGAAAAACAAAAGCTTCTCCTTTTAAATTTAGTAATATATACAGGAAAAGGGGTTACTAGACCCTTGCTCCTGGCATTTTAGTCGCCTCTTACAACACGCATGGCTTACGGAGGAAGAATTCTGTTCCACTTCCCCATGGAGGAGTTATTAATTTATGTGCACTAAAATATGTTACTTCTGGTGTTCTAATGAACAGTGTCCTGTGATATTTAGCTTTTCATATTTTTTGAAGGGTTCAGCAGACTTGCTTGGTAAGCCATTGTCAGGAACTTTTTGTGGATGGTTATTATTTGTCATTCCAGTATTATAGTAAAGCACTGGTTTGGTAATAGAGTTGTGGATGAGTGGAACAAACTCCCAAGTACAGTTATTGAGGCTAGAATGTTGTGTAGTTTTAAAAATAGGTTAGATAAATACATGAGTGGGTGTGGGTGGGTGTGAGTTGGACCTGACTAGCTTGTGCTGCTGGGTCTGGTGCCGTGCTTCTTCCTTGAGCGGAGGTGACTAGACTGGGTGGGTCATTGGGCTAATCTGGGGGGTGGGGGGACATGGACCTGCTCTGCATGGGTCAGTAGGCCTGTTGCAGTGTTCCTTCTTTCTTATGTTCTTACGAAGACATTTAATTAGACGCTTTAGTGTCAGAAACAAAAGCCTGTAATATGCATTGCAGCACTGTATGACCCCTTTGGATGTAGCAATTAACTAGATTATAATAATAACAGTGTTTTTTTAAATAATTTCATATGTAAACATTTTGTAGAAAATCTAAACATAACGGTTGTGTTTAAGAAGTAAATGGAAATCAGTGTAGATTTTGCAGCCATGTAAATACATGTATGTATTGAGTTCCATGTGTGGTACATCCAGCAAGCGCACATGAGCGTGTTAGATAGGAGTGAATGGAGATGAATGGTTTTTGGGACCTGACGAGCTGTTGGAGTGTGAGCAGGGTAATATTTAGTGAAGGGACTCAGGGAAACTGGTTATTTATATACATATAGCCGGACTTGAGTACTGGAATTTTATGGGAAGTACAATGCCTGCATTTTAAAGGAGGGGTTTGGGATATTGGCATTTTGGAGGGATATGTTATATATCTTTATGTATGCTTCTAAACTGTTGTATCTGGATGCCTCTGCAAAGAGGCACCCAGTGAGGTGAAAGTGTTGAATGATGATGAAAATATTTTCTTTTTGGGGATTTTCTTTCTTTTTGGGTCACCCTGCCTCGGTGGGAGATGGCTGACTTTTTTAAAAAAAAAAGATCTGTAATATGTAGAGAAAAAATTCTTAACTTATTTGTAAAGAAATTCTATTTTGTTTTTGAATTTTTAAAATAACTTTTAGTTTTGAAATGAAAGCCACTGCAATATTCATTTAGATTTATATGTCTGGTATTTTTATGCTTCTGGTATTAAATATTTATGGTATGTTTATGTGTCTGGTATTAATGTTCCTGGTATCTCTATGCTTTGGTATGTTTATGTTTCTAGCATTTTCATACTTCTGGTATTTTTTCCAGAAACTCCTACCAGTCAGCCATATCACTGAGTGCTTTGAGTGTCACCACCAACTCTCCCTCCTACAGTGATCGACTTTTGGAAACACAACCAGAGAAGCTGATCCTTTCTCCTGGCAAAGTGACCGAGATCCACCTCACCTTTCTGCCTTTAGTGGAGGATGTGGGAAAGAAAGTAAAAGTGAGTACAGTGTGCAACCCACCTCCTCAACGAGTGTGTGTTGTACACTTGTGGATAAGGGAAATTTTGGTTAATATATATATATATTTTTTTTTTTATTATCACACTGGCCGATTCCCACCAAGGAAGGGTGGCCCGAAAAAGAAAAACTTTCACCATCATTCACTCCATCACTGTCTTGCCAGAAGGGTGCTTTACACTACAGTTTTTAAACTGCAACATTAACACCCCTCCTTATATATATCTACTTTGGATAATATATATATATCTTTCTTCTTTCAACACATCGGCCGTATCCCACCGAGGCGGGGTGGCCCAAAAGGAAAAACAAAAGTTTCTCCTTTTACATTTAGTAATATATACAGGAGAAGGGGTTACTAGCCCCTTGCTCCCAGCATTTTAGTCGCCTCTTACAACACACATGGCGTACGGAGGAAGAATTCTGTTCCACTTCCCCATGGAGATAAGAGGAAATTAACAAGAACAAGAACTAGAAAGACTTGAGTCCTGGAAATGGGAAGTACAGTGCCTGCACTTTAAAGGAGGGGTTTGGGATATTGGCAGTTTGGAGGGATATGTTGTGTATCTTTATATGTGTATGCTTCTAAACTGTTGTATTCTGAGCACCTCTGCAAAAACAGTGATAATGTGTGAGTGTGGTGAAAGTGTTGAATGATGATGAAAGTATTTTCTTTTTGGGGATTTTCTTTCTTTTTTGGGTCACCCTGCCTTGGTGGGAGACGGCCGACTTGTTGAAAAAAAAAAAATGTATATATATATATATATATTTATATTTATATATATATATATATATATATATATATATATATATATATATATATATATATATATATATTATATATATATATATATTTTTTTTTTTTTTTTTTTTTTTCAACAAACCGGCCGTATCCCACCAAGGCAGGGTGACCAAAAAAGAAAGAAAATCCCCAAAAAGAAATACTTTCATCATCATTCAACACTTTCACCACACTCGCACTTTTTCACTGTTTTTGCAGAGGTGCTCAGAATACAACAGTCTAGAAGCATACACATATATAGATACACAAATATCCCTCCAACTGCCAATATCCCAAACCCCTCCTTTAAAGTGCAGGCATTGTACTTCCCATTTCCAGGACTCAAGTCCGACTATATGAAAATAACCGGTTTCCCTGAATCCCTTCACTAAATATTACCCTGCTCACACTCCAAAAGATCGTCAGGTCCCAAGTACCATTCGTCTCCATTCACTCCTATCTAACACGCTCAGCACGCTTGCTGGAAATCCAAGCCCCTTGCCCACAAAACCTCCTTTACCCCCTCTCTCCAACCCTTTCGAGGACGACCCCTACCCCGCCTTCCTTCCCCTATAGATTTATATGCTTTCCATGTCATCCTACTTTGATCCATTCTCTCTAAATGACCAAACCACCTCAACAACCCCTCTTCTGCCCTCGGGACTAATACTTTTATTAACTCCACACCTTTCCTAATTTCCACACTCCGAATTTTTGCATAATATTTACACCACACATTCCCCTTAAACAGAACATCCCCACTGCCCCCAAACCGTCTCCTCGCTGCTGCATTTACCACCAAGCTTCACACCCATATAAGAGTGTTGGTACTACTATACTTTCATACTTTCCCCTTTCTTTGCCTCCATAGATAACGTTTTTTGACTCCACATATACCTCAATGCACCACTCACCTTTTTCCCTCATCAATTTCTATGATTAACCTCATCCTTCATAAATCCATCCGCCGACACGTCAACCCCCAAAGTATCTGAAACATTCACTTCTTCCATACTCCTCCTCCCCAATTTGATACCCAATTTTTCTTTATCTAAATCATTTGACACCCTCATCACCTTACTCTTTTCTATGTTCACTTTAAAATTTTCTACCTTTACACACATTCCCCAAACTCATCCACTAACCTTTGCAATTTTTCTTTAGAATCCCCCATAAGCACAGTATCATCAGCAAAAGGTAACTGTGTCAATTCCCATTTTGAATTTGTTTCCCCCAAAATATTTATATATTATTATATATATATATATATATATATATATATATATAATATATATATATATATATATATAAAAAAAGAATAAGAAGAAGAAAATTGTCAAAGGGGGAAGTCTGAATGTGCGTGGATGTTGTGCAGATGATAAGAAAGAGATGATTGTGGTGTTATGAATGAGAAGAAGCTGGATGTCCTGGCTTTAAGTGAAACAAAGCTGAAGGGGGTGGGAGAGTTTCAGTGGGAGGAATAAATGGGATTAGGTCAGGGGTTTCAAATAGAGTTAGAGCTAAAGAAGGAGTAGCAATAATGTTGAAGGAAAAAGCTATGGCAGGAAAAGAGGGACTATAAAAAGTATTAATTCAAGGATTATGGGGTAAAATAAAGATTGGATGTGAAAAAATGGGTTATAATAAGCGTGTATGCACCTGGAGAAGAGAGAAGTGTAGAGGAGAGAGAGAGATTTGGGGAAATGTTGAGTGAATGCGTGGGAGTTTTGAATCAAGTGTGAGAGTAATGGTGGTTGGGGGTTTTAAAGCTAAAGTGGGTAAAAAAGTTATGGAGGGAGTAGTAGGTAAATTTGGGGTGCCAGGGGTAAATGTAAAAGGGGAGCCTTTAATTGAGCTATGTGTAGAAGAAATTTGGTAATAAGTAATACATTTTTATGAAAAAGAGGATAAAAAAAATATACAAGGTATGATGTAGCACGTAATGAAAGTAGTTTATTAGATTATGTATTGGTGGATAAAAGGTTGATGGGTAGGCTCCTGGATGTACTTTGTTTATAGAGGGGAAACTGATATATCGGATCATTATTTAGTTGTAGCTACAGTTAGAGTAAGAGGTAGGGGATGGGAAAAGAGGAAGGTGGCAACAACAAGAAAAGAGGGAGGGGTTGAAAGTGTATAAACTAAGGGAGGAGGAAGTTCGGGTGAGATATAAGCGACTATTGGCAGAAAGGTGGGCTAGTGAAAAGAGGGAGTAGTGGGGGTTGAAGAGGGTTGGAATAGTTTTAAAAATGCAGTATTAGAATGTGGGGCAGAAGTTTGTGGTTATAGGGGGGGTGGGGGCAGGAGAAAGGGGAAAGTGATTGGTGGAATGATGAAGTAAAGGGTGTGATAAAAGAGAAAAAGGTAGCTTATGAGAGGTTTTTACAAAGCAGAAGTGTTATAAGAAGAGCAGAGTATATGGAGAGTAAAAGAAAGGTAAAGAGAGTGGTGAGAGAGTGCAAAGGAGAGCAGATGATAGAGTGGGAGAGGCACTGTCAAGAAATTTTAATGAAAATAAGAAAAAATTTTGGAGTGAGTTAAACAAGTTAAGAAAGCCTGGGGGAAAAATATGGATTTGTCATTTTAAAAAACAGAGTAGGGGGTTAGTAGATGGGGAGATGGAGGTATTGGGAAGATGGCGAGAATATTTTGAGGAATTTTTAAATGTTAAGGAAGAACAGAGGCAGTAATTTCATGCACTGGTCAGGGAGGTATACCATCTTTTGGAGTGAAGAAGAGCAGAATGTAAGTGTGGGGGAGGTAAAGTGAGGCATTACGTAAAATGAAAGGGGGGTTTAAAACAGCTGGAAAATGATGGGATCATGACAGAAATGTTAAAAGCAGGGGGGGGGGGGGATATGTGTTGGAGTGGTTGGTACTTTTGTTTAATAAATGTATGAAAGAGGGGAAGGTACCTAGGGATTGGCAGAGAGCATGTATAGTCCCTTTATATAAAGGGAAAGGGGACAAAAGAGACTGTAAAAATTATAGAGGAATAAGCTTACTGAGTATACCAGGAAAAGTGTACGGTAGGGTTATAATTGAAAGAATTAGAGGTAAGACAGAATGTAGGATTGCGGATGAGCAAGGAGGTTTTTAGAGTGGGTAGGGGATGTGTAGATCAGGTGTTTACATTGAAGCATATATGTGAACAGTATTTAGATAAAGATAGGGAAGTTTTTATTGCATTTATGGATTTAGAAAAGGCATATGATAGAGTGGATAGAGGAGCAATGTGGCAGATGTTGCAAGTATATGGAATAGGTGGTAAGTTATTAAATGCTGTAAAGAGTTTTTATGAGGATAGTGAGGCTCAGGTTAGGGTGTGTAGAAGAGAGGGAGACTACTTCCGGTAAAAGTAGGTCTTAGACAGGGATGTGTAATGTCACCATGGTTGTTTAATATATTTATAGATGGGGTTGTAAAGGAAGTAAATGCTAGGGTGTTTGGGAGAGGGGTGGGAATTAAATTATGGGGAATCAAATTCAAAATGGGAATTGACACAGTTACTTTTTGCTGATGATACTGTGCTTATGGGAGATTCTAAAGAAAAATTGCAAAGGTTAGTGGATGAGTTTGGGAATGTGTGTAAAGGTAGAAAGTTGAAAGTGAACATAGAAAAGAGTAGGTGATGAGGGTGTCAAATGATTTAGATAAAGAAAATTGGATATCAAATTGGGGAGGAGGAGTATGGAAGAAGTGAATGTTTTCAGATACTTGGGAGTTGACGTGTCGGCGGATGGATTTATGAAGGATGAGGTTAATCATAGAATTGATGAGGGAAAAAGGTGAGTGGTGCGTTGAGGTATATGTGGAGTCAAAAAACGTTATCTATGGAGGCATAAGAAGGGAATGTATGAAAGTATAGTAGTACCAACACTCTTATATGGGTGTGAAGCTTGGGTGGTAAATGCAGCAGCGAGGAGACGGTTGGAGGCAGCGGAGATGTCCTGTTTAAGGGCAATGTGTGGTGTAAATATTATGCAGAAAATTCGGAGTGTGGAAATTAGGAGAAGGTGTGGAGTTAATAAAAGTATTAGTCAGAGGGCAGAAGAGGGGTTGTTGAGGTGGTTTGGTATTTAGAGAGAATGGATCACAGTAGAATGACATGGAAAGCATATAAATCTATAGGGGAAGGAAGGCGGGGTAGGGGTCGTCCTCGAAAGGGTTGGAGAGAGGGGGGTAAAGGAGGTTTTGTGG